TTGTGGTGACGAATACAGAATTCGTTATTGAACTGTGATATACTCTATCAGATATGATAACTTTTACACCGACTGCTTTCTGTTCATTCTATTGATGTTGCCTGTGTTTTTGCTCTGATCACTCTGCTTAGCCCCAGCGATTCTTCAGTTATTTAACACCAGAAACCTTTCACTGTCTGCAGATTCAGACCGAATTCCTCGACTCTTCAATCGCTTTCATTGTAACCTAACCGTCCAATCCATAAACTTGTACAAGACTACCCTTTTATCCTCTTGTCACGCATTACGTCTTCATTGATTGTTTCTCTCTTATCAAACAATCAAATTCCTCAATTGTTCACATCTTTCATTAAACTGTCCCTGTTTCATATCTCCAGGACCAGGCCTGCTCCAACTAAACGTTATGTTTTATTAACCAATTTCATCAAAATCCTTCGTATATAACGCTACCTGTTCGAAAGATCATACTCCAACAATTGCACCCCTAATAACTAAAGCGATCGCGAGACATAACTTCCTTGCAAACATTCGAATGTGAATAAATATGTACACTTCTCTACTGTATTGTACTCTATATCTGCTGTACTGCAAATATTGCGTCGTGATTATATTTTTGCATCAGCACATATTTCAAACAAATGAATTTATGCTCGTAAAAATTATGAATAATCTCTCAAACAGTCGCCAATCGAAATCACAATGACCGATACAACTTATATAATCTAACTAATCAAAGAACTTCCTAACGGAAGAGGTAAACATGATAAAAGGAAAACGTTCGACAGAAGACATACAGTTCGATAATTAAAAAGTACACACGCGTACGTATTTTCTACAAATCGAAATCCTTCCAAATACTGCATTTTTATGAGGTACAAGAAATGAAACGACTCAATATTTGAGCTAATCATATTCATGCTGAAATTCTACGATATGAAGAAATACAATCAATATCAAACAGCCAATTATGCTACTACCAAACACCTAAACATACAATACATACCATCAGCCATAATCAACGATTCAAGAAACTTTTACGAATATATAACCGAACGTCTTCATAATATTTCGATAAATCTACATAATCATCGCTATTAAAATGCAATAAATACAACAACGTTCACCACATCTTTCAACGAAGCATTT